CCCAAAGGAAAACTCCTAGGAATATTGTAGCCAAATTCCAGAGTTCCCAGGTCAAGGAGAAAATATTACAAGCAGCCAGAAAGAAACAATTCAAGTATTGTGGAAACACAATCAGGATAACACAAGATTTAGCTGCTTCTACATTAAGGGACTGCAGGGCATGGAATATAATATTCCGGAGGGCAAAGGAGATAGGATTACAACCAAGAATCACCTACCCAGCAAAACTGAGTATAATCCTTCCAGGGAAAAAATAGTCATTCAGTGAAATAGACAACTTTCAAGCATTCTTGATGAAAAGACCAGAGATGAATAGAAAATCTGACTTTCCAATACAAGACTCAAGTGGAACATGAAGAGGTAAACAGGAAAGAGAAAATCATAAGAGACTTGTTAAGGCTGAACTGTTTACATTCCTGCACGGAAAGATGATATTTGTAACTCATGAGACCTTTGTCAGTATTAGGGTAGTTGGAGGGAAAAAATTATATGTACGTAGATAGATAGATAGATAGATAGATAGATAGATAGATAGATAGATAGATAAGATAGATAGATAGATAGAGGGCATTGGGTGAGTTAAAGATGAAGGGGTCATATCTGGAGAAGAAAATTAAGGGGTGAGAGAGGATTATACTAGGAGAAGGAGAAAGGGAAAGGTAGAACAGGGTAAATTATCTCACAAAAAAACAGAAAAGAAAAGGCTCTTACAGTGGAGGGGAACCGGGGGAAGGTGAGAGGAAATGAGTGAATCTTATTCTCATAGGATTTGATTTAAGGAGGGAATAACACACACACTCAATTGGGTATGGAAATCTGTCTTACCCTACAGGAAAATAGGAGGGGAAGGGGACAAGAGAGTAGGGGGATAATAGAGAGGAGGGCAGAGTGGGAAAGGGGGTAATCAGAAGCAAATACTTCCGAGGAGGGACAGGGTCAAAAAAAAGAAGAAAATAAATAGGGGGGGCAGGATAGGATTAAGGGAAATAGAGTTAGTTTTTCACAGCATGTCTACTATGGAAGTTTTTTGCATAACTGCACAAGTATAGCCTATATTGAGTTGCTTGCCTTTTCAATGAGGGTGGGTGGGGAGGGAGGAAGGGAGAAAATTTGGAACCTAAAGTTTAAAAAAACACATTTAAAAAAAATGTTTTCACATGCAACTGGGAAATAAGAAATACAGAAAATGGGGTATAGAAATCTATCCTGCCCTACAGGAAAATAGAAGGGGAAGGGGGGGAGATAGAGCAGGGAAAGCAGACTAGGGGAAGGGGTATTCAGAATGCATGCCATCTTGGGGTGGGGCAAGGGGCAAGATGGGGTGAAAATTTGGAACTCAAAATCTTGTGGAAGTAAATGTTGAAAACTAAAAATAAAAAAAATAAATTAAAAAAATAAATAAATAAAGTCAAATGTCTTCCCCAAATCTGCAGCACCTGTAACTCTGTCAGAGAAGGAAAGGAGGTTTGCCTGGCATGACCTGACTCCATCAAGTTAGGCTCTAAAGACCACCACTCTTTTCTCAAAGTCTGCCAACATCAATTTAATCACAGGTTCCAGAATTCTGACAAGTCAGCTCACAAGTCAGGCTATGGTTTGTTGACTCTATTCACTTCCCTTTAAAAAAAAAATTGCCCACTGGCCTTTCTCCAGCCCCACCGTCCCTCAGCCACTGCCCACTATCTTTCACCGACGACCCATCCTTCCTTCAAGACCTGCGTCCGGACAATGGGAACCGATTCAGGTAGTGCCCTGGATTGGGGGTGTGCCACAATGTGATGCCCACAGGCTCCCACAACACAGCCTTCTCCTATACTCTCTGTTACCAAAGGAGAATTACTGCACCAGAAGAGTGGCATAAAGGACACTATCGGAGAAAGCCAGGACCCAAAACCAAGATGAGCAGGAGGGCTGACGGATACACATCCCAAGTGATCCAGAAAGGGTAGGCAAAGTGGGAATGGGAGAGAATGCCCACAACGAGAAGATGACAGACCCACTGGAATGTGGTCCAGGGCGTGGCTCCTCCCTTCTTCTCCTGGCTCAGGTCAGACCTAGAGTCTGAGATGCCAAAAAGAACGTCCGGCAGGCAGCCAGAACTCAGTGGAAAGGTAAAGATGTAGGAGGAGGCCTCAGCCCAGAGTGGAGAGTAGGGGGAGGGGGAGGGAATCAGAGGTCATCTCGCTCACAGGTGTATTCCTGGCTGGGCCAGAGATGAACTCATCTCAGCTGGGGCTGCCGCCCCCCCCCCCCCCCCCCAGTCAAGTTCCCCAACTATAACCACCACGCCTTCTAAAAGCCCCTGAAGCCTTGGGCTGACTGGCTGTTTCCTTGCAGCACCTGACACCTATAAGATCCATCAGCAAAAGAACCTGAACTCTGATGCCTGCTGCCTGGAAGGTTTCATGACACAAGGCTCTCCTCGGTGCTCATTCTACGCTGCCCTTACTAAATCTTCCTTGTAGGGAGGTAGCAAGGAGACCACTTTGTAAACCAGAGTTACAGAAATGTGAGCATTACTGCCCCTACTCCTCCTACTTCATCTGCTGTACTACAACACCCCCCCAACCATCCCAGGCCCTTCTTTCCTACCTTTAGGTCCATCCTCCAGGCAGCAACAATCACGAGGGGATCATATAAAAATAATCTTCCTGCATACATCCCAACCCAAAGGCATTCCGAGAGCCCTCTTCCCAGCCCGGAGGGCTCAACCACCCTGCCTCGGAACTCGGTCTACGCTCAAAGCCGTGCAGGACGTACTGGTTTATAAAGCAAATTGTCCTAACTCCTGGACATCCTCTAAAACTTCCTGGACCCAAGCAAGGCGTCAGTGTGAGCAACAAGGCCAAGAGTCAAATATATATCATTTTGGTATCCCCCTCTTCCAAGCTATTCCCTTGTTTTAAAAACCTGAAAGAAAAAGCACAGCAAAGGTTCGTAGGAGGCCCACTCTGACTCCAGGCATTGTCCACACAGCAACTCTGCCATCCAGGACATAACCTCAAAGTGAAACGACAACAGAGCTGGAGCTCGGCGGTCACCTATGAACTCACAGAAGCTCCAGCTGTGGGCTCTGAGAGCTGCATGGGGCCAGGGGCCATCTAGTCCAACCACGCCCTGATCAAGAAGTCCCTCTAGGACACACTGGTAGGGTGCAAACCTGGGAGTCCTGGGACCTGCGGGATGCTGGACAAGTCCCCATGGGACTGAGACCGGATGGACTCTGGGAAGGACTCAATGACCTCTCACTCAGTTCCCTTCCAGCTCTAATCGATGATCTGAGGACCTTCAGCGACGGGAACTCCCTGCCTGCAGAGGCAGCCCCTTCCACTTGGGGACAGTTCCAATGGTTAGAAAGCTTTACCTTAATCTTCTTCTTTGAATCTCCTACCCACGGCTTCTAGCTCTAACCTCCGAAACTGCGAAGAACAGAACTAATCCCTCTGATAAATAATGGGTCTGTGCTAGGCTGAGGAGAGCACCATTCTGTATCTCAGACTCTTCACTACCTGCCTGCCAAGCCTCCTTTCAGAAAAGCCCTGATGCCATCCATACCCCAATATAGCTACGTGCATCCAGTCAAGGGCCCTTAGCAACCTACCTCTGCCCAACAGCTTCCTATTTCTTGCCTTGTAGGTGAAAATTCAAAGATACCATGAAGGCAAGAACGTAAAAGAAACAGAGCCAGTCAGACGTGTAGACAAATGAACACATTCAGCTTGCACTTTTGTAGGAGACTTACGAAGGCTTAAAATCCAAGGGTTAGGAACAGGAGGATTTTTCCCTTTTGCATAAGATCGTGTTGCCTCTGAAAGCTTGGCCTCTTGGCCAGGCTTTACAGATCTCAGAATCACTCAATTTGAGAGCTGTGAGGGAGCTTAGAGGCCACACGGTTCAACCCGGGGAGTGGGGAAAGAATTCTCAATATGACATCCAGCCAGTGGGATGATAAGAAAACTGCAGTCCCGAGGGGAGAAGGGACTTGATCAAGGTGTCACTGGTCGTAACAAGGTCTGGAATCAAATACACGTCATTTATTCCCAAGTCTGCTTCTTCCAAGCTAGTCCCTTGTTTACTCGGTTTACTCACTGGGGCTGATAATTCCCAAAAGTCTTTCCAGTCGGGGCTCCCTGCCCTCCCCACTGGGGTTGTGGCCGTGGGTCCCGACCAGGGGCTGACATGGACCCCGGGGTCTTCAGCCCTTGGCATGTCTAAGGAAGGGCGGGGGCAGCCCAGGTCCAAGAGGGGCTTCCTTAGACCTTGAAAGAAATGGGCATCCCCCGACTGTCGAGACAAGGAGCTTCCCGACTTCCAGGCAGTTGTGTCTGGACTATACTATTCGGCACTCGCTGCGGGGCCCAAAATCTGGGTCCTGGGGCACTTTTTAAAGGCATTTCCTACCGGGGGGCTCTTCATTCACTATTGATTTGCTTTGCTTTCTGTACACGGGAAAACCAACCTCTACATTCATAGGACTGGAAAACCAGACGCTGCTGTCAAAGGGCGTGCTGGCGGGGGGTGGGCGGGGAGGGCACCAGGCTGGAGGGTCAAGGCTCTGGGGGAGAAAGGGACCCCGCAACAGAACCGAAGACAAGAACCTCTGGGGCGCACTCCCGCTGTATCAACCCACCCCCATGCAGCAGACACAAAACACGTCCTTGCAACCCCCAGGTAGGAGCCGCAAGAGCCGGATGGAGGAAGGCACGCGGAGGCGGGCGGAGGCGGAAAGAGGCGGAAAGCGGCGGAAAGAGACGGAAAGAGACGGAAAGAGACGGAAAGAGGCGGAAAGGCAGAGACTGACAGGTGGAGACACAGAGACGGGCAGAGATGCAGGCGGAGCCCTGGAGACATATGGAGGGAGCCAGGCAGAGATAAAAAGGGGCAAAGACGAGGAGAGACACAGGGAGAGACGCGCCCTGGCTCTCGGCCTCCGGGGTCGCGGCCTCCGCAACTCGGGGGGCCCAGGCTCGAGGGGAGGGGGGAGGGTCTCGGGGCGTCACCTCAGCTCGGGTCCGACGCCACTGCTGCCGCCATCTTGCTCGCCCGCTTCTTCTCTCGTACTCCCGCCCCCTCGGCTGCTAACCAATCGGCTGCCCTCCACCTCGCCAATGGGCAGGGCCGGGGAAAACTTGCTCAGCCAATCCACGTCGCCCGTCCAGGGCGGGGAGGCGGGGGCAGGGGCGTAAACGACCGGGCGGAGACTCCATACCCAATCAGCGGTGGATTCAGAAAGCGTGGAGGGTCACGCGGAGACGCTTTACCCAATCATAAGTGGGTCACTGGCGCTGGGCGGGGCGGGGGACCGCTCACATCCAATCAGCGGCGGCGCGGGGCGGGGCCAGGCGTTTGGCGGGCCGGCGACCCGGAGCAGTGGGTCAGTCAGTCAGTCGAGGTCAGTCGGGATGTGGAGCCGCGGAAGGCTCTGGAGAGGCCGGAGCCAGGGCCTGGAGGGCCTGGAGGCAGCCCCCCCGGGCCGGAAGCGGGCACGGAGGGACGCCTCTCCCTGGGGACCTCCCCGGCCCGGAGCCCAGCATGCATGCAGTAGGTGCTTAGTCAGTGCCGGTGTAGTAAATGGAATCCCGCGACCGGGGCTGCGTCCTGCCCCCAGCCCAGTCCACGTGGGGCTGGGTCCGTGGGCTGAATCCTCTGCGAACGACCAAAAAGGAGGGGGAAACCCCGAGCCTCAGTTCCTCCCTGTGTCCATCCCATCCCATCCTGCCGACATTACTTAGACCCCTGCTGTGTGCCTGGGCTGCAGAAAGTGCTCCAAGCCCCGTGCGTGGGAGCATCCCGCCTCCTGCCACCCGAGACGAGAATGACACGAGGTGGATGTGACAGAGTGCCCTGGGAGACCTGGAAGAGGAGACCTGAGAAGGGACATGGAGGAGGCAGAAGAGGAAGGGCATCCCCCTTCAGTTTACTAAGCACTTATTAAGCGCTTGCTGGATACTAAGCCTAGGACTACACCGATAAAATCGATAAAATCGTTCCTGCCCTCAAGGAGCTTACCTTCTACTGGGGAAAACAACAAAGTCAGAAGAGATTACTGACACGCAGAAGATTAGTTTTGAAAGTCATTTTTGTGGGCTGTGAGATAAGATGAATAATTAGGAGGGCCCTCCCCTCGGTGGGCCTTGAAGGGATGGGAGCACATTAAGAGATGGGAGCAAAGAAGCAAGAGTATTCCAAGCACAAGAGACAGTGTGGCAGTCAAGTTCAGAGAACAGCGGAGAGTCCAGTTTGGTTGTAATGGAGTCAAGTGGAGCCCTATGAAATAAGACTGGGAAAGTACAGTACAGTAGAGTCAAATACCAGGCTAGGGAATTTGTACTTCTCTATAGCAAGAGATTGAGAAGTTATAAGAACTGACTATTTAACAAAAACTGCTGGGAAAACTGGAAGAGAGTATGGCAGAAACTAGGCATAGACCAACATCTTATATCCCATACCAAGAGAAGGTCAAAATGGGTACGTGATTTAGATATAAAGGCGGATACTATAAGCAAACCAGGAGAGCAAGGAATAGTTTACCTGTCAAATCTATGGAGAAGGGAAGAATTTATGACCAAACCAGAGATAGAGAACATTATGAAATGCAAAATGGATGATTTTGATTACATTAAATTGAAAAGGTTTTGCACAAACAAAGCCAATGCAACCAAGATTATAAGCAGAAAGCTGGGAAACAATTTTTACAGCCAGTGTCTCTGATAAAGGCCTCCTTTCTAAAATATATAGAGAACTGAGTCAAATTTATACGCATACAAGTCACTCCCCTTTGACCCAGCAATAGCACTTCTAGGGCTATATCCCAAAGAGATCACACAAACAGGAGAAGGACCTACATGTACAAAAATATTCATAGCAGCTCTTTTTGTGGTGGCAAAGAATTGGAAATTGAAAGGATGCCTATCAACTGGGGAATGGCTGAGCAAGCTATGGTATATGAATGTGATGGAATACTATTGTGCTATAAGAAATGATGAACAGGCTGACTTCAGAAAAACCTGGAATGACTTGTATAGTCTATGCTCAGTGAAGTGAGCAGAACCAAGAGAACGTTGTACACAGTAACAGCCACATTGTGTAATGACTAATATTGATAAACTTAACCCTTCCTGGCAATACAAGGATCTAAGACATCTCCAGAGGCCTTGTGATGGAAAATGCACTAATATTGATAAACTTAACCCTTCCTGGCAATACAAGGATCTAAGACATCTTCAGAGGCCTTGTGATGGAAAATGCTATCCACATCCAAAGAAAGAATTATGGACGTCGAATTGCTATTTTTTTTTCTCTTCTGTTGAGTTGTGTTTCCTCTTTCTGATGGTTCCTCCTATTGGTTTTAACTTTTACTTACAACATCACTAATGTGAAAATATGCTTAATATGAATGTAAATGTATAGCCTATGTCAGATTGTGCGCCGTCTTGGGGAGGGTGGGGGGGGAAGGGAGAGAAAAATTTTAAACTCAAAAGCATATGTAAGTGATTATTGATAAATCAAAATAAATTAAAAAATTTTTAAAAATAAAATAAAATAAAAAGAATACAAGTCACTCCCCAATTGATAAATGGTCAAAGGATATGAACAGTCAGTTTTCAGACAAAGAAATCAAAGCTATCTATAGTCATATGAAAAAATGCTTTAAATCACTATTGATTAGAGAAATACAAATCAAAACAACTCTGAAGTAGGTACCATATCACATCTATCAGATTAACCAACATGACAAAACAGGAAAATGATCAATGCTGGAGAAGATGTGGGAAAATTGGAACACTAATGAATTGTTGGTGGAGTTGTGAACTGATCCAACCATTGTGGAGGACAATTTGGAACTATGCCCAAAGGGCTATAAAAATGTGCATACCCTTTGACCCAGCAATAGCACTTCTAGGTCTGTGCCCCAAAGGGATCATGTACAAAAATATTTATAGCAGCTCTTTTTGTGGTGGCAAAGAATTGGAAATTGAGGGGATGCCCATCCATTGGGGAATGGCTGAACAAGTTGTGGTATATGAATGTAATGGAATACTATTGTGCTATGAGAAATGATGAGCAGGTAGACTTCAGAAAATCTGGAAAGACTTGTATGGGCTGATGCTGAGTGAAGTGAGCAGAACCAGGAGAATGTCGTACACAGTAACAGCCACATTGTGAGAAGACTGACTTTGATAGACTTGGCTCTTCTCAGCAATGCAAGGATCTAAGACATCTCCAAAAGACTCGTGATGGAAACTGCCGTCCACATCCAGAGAAAGAACTCTGGAGTCTGAATGCAGATGGAAGCAGACTATTTGCTCTTTTTTGTTGTTGTTGTTTTGTTTTGTTTCTTCTTTCTCGTGGTTCCTCCTCTTGGTTCTAATTCTTCCTTACAACATGACTAATGTGAAAATATGTTTAATATGAATGTATATGTAGAGCCTATATCAGATTGCATGCTGGCTTGGGGAGGGGAGAGGGGAAGGAGGGGGAGAAAATTTACAAGTCAAAAAAGCTTATGGAAGTGAATGTTGAAAACTAAAAATAAATAAATAATTTTTAAATGGGGGGGAAAAGAGATAGAGAAGTAACCCGGCACAGTTGAGTCCTGAGACCTAGGTTCAAATCCTGCTTCTGACTTTTACTGCCCATGTGACCATGGGCAAGTGACTTCACTTCCTGGACCTCCTCTGTAATGAGGTGTTTGGAATGCAGAGCTTCTGAGCTTCTGATATCCTGTTTACCTCTAAATCCATTACTATCGTAGGATCAGTATAGAACCACTTAGTGTTCAGTGATTAGAGCTGAGATGTTGAGAGACCTTCAAATTAGGGAGATGATTTTGGTCACTGGGTAAAGGATGGGTTGCGGGGCAGGGAGAACCAAAGGAAGTAAGACCAATGAGGGAGCTCCGACAGCAGTCAAAGCAAGTGGTGATTAAAGCCTACACTGGAGGATTGGCCATTTGACCTGTGCGTCTATGGAGTAGGGTAGAGAAGGAAATGAATGGGGGAGATGTTGGGGGTTAAGATCGACAGGATTGGCAACTGACCAGATAGACAGAGTGAGTTAAAGGCAAGGGAAGATTCAAGATGAATCCAAGTCTCCAAATCTAGTGGGAGGAGGGGGGAAACAGAAGGACCCTCAGCAAGCACAGTTTAGTGGGAAGATGATGAGTCCATCAGCTTCAGGCATGTTGACATTGAGCTAAGTGGCAATGGGCTGAGAGAAATTTGAGACTCAGATTCAGGAAAGAAAATTAGTACTGGAAATAATGACTGCAAACCATCTGCCTAGAGAAGGTAATTGAACCTAAGAGAGCCAATGTGATCCCCAAGGGAGAGAAAAGACTGAGGACCAGGTGAAGAGCCTTGGGAATGAGCTGTAGACCAATAGGAAAGCCAGGAGAAAGCATCACAGAATCCAGGCAGAGTGGGTGGGGGTCAACGGTGTTAAAAACTGAAGAAAAGTCAAAGGCAAGGTCTGAGAAAAGGGCTTACAATTTAGCAGTTAAGAGATGACTGGTTATTTTTGTCAGAACACTTTCAATAGAGCAGTGAGGTCAAGAGGTTGAGGTTTAAGTGACTGGGGAGAAAGTGTATGTGTCCATCAGACACTGCTCTTTCTAGGAGGTCAGTTGTCAAAGGAGGAGGAATACAGGATATTTTCTGGACCCTGAAAATGCAGAAGTTGTGCTTGAGCTTTTAAACTACTTAACTTTGTGATCAAAAAAGTGAGGCTGGAACATTGATAATGAATGGACCGGGAGAGTCATAAGAACCAGGACAGAGTGAGACAGGGAGAGAGGCAAAGGACAAGTGACTGTTCCAAGTTACGGATGTTAGAGGCAGAGTGATCTCTGGTAATGATGAGGTCTAAGGTTGAAGCACGCACTGTTGTGGGTTACTGACGTTGAACTAGGATGGTCTTTGAAGGGTCATTAATAGAAATATTGAAGTCCCCAATGAGGAGGAAAGGAAATAAGATTCAGAGAGAAATTGAATAAATTTAGGAAGATGAAGAGAGTATGTCCTGAAGGCTGGTAGTTGAGGCTGGAAGAATCTATATTGGCCATCT